GTCCAAAATTGCAAGAACAATGGGGGTCCATTGACCAAAGATGCATCAACAATGGGGGTCCATTGTCCGGATTGACCAAAATTGCAAGAACAATAGGGGTCCATTGACCAAACATGCTTCAACAATGGGGGTCCAGGGGGTTCATTGTCCAAAATTGCAAGAACAATGGGGGTCCATTGACCAAAAATGCATCAACAATGGTCCATTGTCCAAAATTGCCAGAACAATGGGGGTCCTTGACCAAAAACTGCAAGAACAATGGGGGTCCGTTGTTCAAAAACTGCATCAGGGTTTAAATACTATAGGTATATAGGTTTAGGGTTGGTTCAGGGTTTGAGTAGTAGGATTCTTACTACGAAGACCCTCAACCTTGGCCCGTAATTCATTCAGGACTTGACCCCAAATTGGCGGAGTTTTTCAGAGTTCCTATTCGGCTGTTTTGTAGGCTCCTTCACAGTTATGCCTTATACCCGAATCCTATGCAGCGCTTCTTTTTTATAATCTTGGGTATACTTCTCCAGCAAGGTGCACCTGGAGGGTGCTGCGTCGTCCAAGGTCGAGGCTCACTGTAGATCACCGGAATCAGCGTGGCGAGGTAGTCGGGATCCTGAGGACAGGAGAACCCTAATCAAGAGCCCTTCATAATTAGAAAAGGATTTTGTGGCCCGTTATACTGGACTTATAAAGAGGAACCCCCAAAACAGTATGGGAAATTATTATTACAGAAATCCTCACCATTATGCAAGCCTTGTGTAGAAACATGTAGAAAGCCTAGCCTACACAACCCTCTCCAAGCGTGGAAAGCAGAAGCCCCAAAGCAGGCTCCACCCGGTCTCAAGGAGCCTGTCACCAGGGAATCTGAGAAGGACTTGGTGCTTCGCCGCGCCTGCGCGGGGGCGGCATGGGCAGGCTGTGTAGGCTGCGTGATCTCCGTCTCAGGCTGCTCGGGATCGCCAGCCATGGAACCTGTGGCAACAAGGCGCTCAGATGCGGAATCGCAGGCTCCCTTCTACTCACACGCCACGATTCGTCTTGTGGGCCTCCATCGCAAGATCAATCAGCGTGCATGAACCGTAGTGAACTCAAACTTGACATGACTTTGCTCCGGTGCGTGAAAACCTTATGGTCGCTGTCAAGTTCGTCCCTCTGCAAGAAAGGTCTCCGTCAGTGGGCAGCATGTGCTGTTTGTCAACCTAGCCGCGTTCGAGCCAGCGGGAGACAGCTGTAGCTTCAGAAGATCAGGGACCCTCAAGAAAATGAACCCGTAGCAGTCAGATCCTTAATGCAAGGTTCTCCCAAAGAAGGTGCCCCCGACTTAAACCCCAAGCCCTAAACCCTGTCTCCTACACCCCCGCTGTGCTTCTTCGATAGTGGAAACCCGTTCCGGTCATGCCAGCTTCTATGTGGGGTCAGGGGAGAGTTTAGGGTTGAGGGCTTTGGGTTCAGTGGTTCATTTGGGGATAGGCGGTCGGGTTTGGGGGTACATCATCATAGGATTATACAGGCAATATAGGGACTATGGGGACAGGCCTCTTCCGACTCGAGAAACCACACTTCTATGTGGACGGCAGCGCGGTCCAGCGTCACAAGTTGAAAGACACGGATTTGTTTTGCGCATGGGTTACCCCCTCCTCCGCATGCTGCCCTACCTGATGCTATCAATGCATCGGGAACTGACCCAAAGACAAATCCCTGCGAACTAACCGGCTCAAGTCTGCTGTGGCACAGTTTCTCGAGCACGACATGTTTGCGCTGCTTATCACCATGAGCAGCCAATCTGGATCACGATCTGCGACACATCTTGGACGGTGCTAACAGAAGCAAGCCCGCAAGCGCAGGAGCATGGACAGCCAGGATGCTCAACTTTCTTCCCCTCGCGGCCAAGCATCCGCAGGGACATTTGTGGCTCGAACTTTCCTTTCCTGCAGATCCCTTAAACCCTAAACCCTCAGCGACTGCAGTCACAAGCAGATGTTGTCCATCCCTCCGTCAGACATCTCCTGTCTTGTAAGCCTAAGTGCACTAAATGCCACGGGGTGCCGCAGCAGACAGGCGAAGTCAGGCCTGAGAGTATACGATGATTAGGTGGATGTCGTTCTTGCAGATACGATCATTGTCGGATGTCCCAAAGAGAACTGCCTGCTAGCCCGAAGTTTAAACTGAACCCTGAAACCCTAAACCCCTGAAGCCCTACAGCCCCAATATGCCCTGTCATGGTCTCATACCAGGGAACAACTACGCCATTCCAAGGAACCGAAACGATGCACTCCACCTTTCAGAACCTCCACCCCCCGGCAATGGGTGATGTAACGGAAGTTGCCCAGACCTGTGATTCTTTTCCGTAAGGGCCCTTAAGGCGTGGGTTTACGTTTCACGGTTGAAGTTTAAGTGTACTGTTTCGGGTTTGGGTGGATCGCTACTCTTGCACTGGGCAGGCCCGACATTGCCGGTCATCGCTTACTAAAGCAATTGGAGCATGGCGAAAGAGACTGTCTTCTTTCATAGCAGTCATAGCAGGGCCTTTATCTTGCCTCTTAGGCGTTGGACAGACTCCTCCTCGTGCTAATGCAAAGTGTCCACAACACTTGCCATTGTCGATAAATAGCTTCCGGAAGAGGGGGCAGAAGTAATTCAGCAATGTGTTGTAGGCGGTAGCTTGAAGAACATGCAGACTTGCATATACTGTGGTAAAAGACGCGACTTTTGGCTTAGTCGATCACTGTCTGCCTTCGCCTCACATGCCTCGGGCAGGAAGCTGAGTCACAAGAACTTGCGGCCTAAAGGGTTGACCAAAGCTGGGCCTCGCGGGCCGCCCTGGGGAGGAGGCATTGTAAGAGGAATTTCCGGCCATGCGTGTGCTGCAGCGGAACGGAGTTTTGATGCTGCAGCGCATGCCAGGGATGGGCTGGGTTTTGCCAGGTGCGGCAAAGATCGCCTCGCTCTGCGACGTCTCAGGCTTCTCGACCTGCACATTTTGGCTTTACGGTTTGTAGGGGTTCAGTCTGGGATTCCGGATACTTTAGGATTTCCGGCTTTGGGTTTGAGGTCCGGGAGTTTAGGGCCAGGGTCGCCAATTCAGGGCGCAGCACCTAAACGCGTGTGAACCCTTTTTCGAGCCCTCGTAGTCATAGAACCTTTAGGAAATCCTGGCGGAACCACATGTCGAAAATACGTCTGTAGTCCCTATTCAGCTATACTTTAGCGTGGCCCAAACCCTATTCAAATTCCACAGACCCACATACACTTCCTATAGTGACCAGAACCTTGAAAATCCGGTTATGCCAGCGTAGATCCCAAACCACGGCGACCCTTGCTAATGGGACCGCACTATGGCACCGCCACGACGACCACTACGACCAGGAAGAAACCACCAGCAGGCCGCTAGGAGACCCTAGCAGACCAACCGGGAGAACACCAGAAAACCACCCAAAGACCCCAAAAAACCACCGGACACCACCGCTTTGCTCTCAAAACATTTGCAGATTCAAAAGCACGCCCAGCACGCTTCCCCCAAACGCTTTGCCCCAAGTGCTGGTGCCACTCAGAGTTTCGGCGGCGCAAAAGCTGGCCCATGTTATTATCGAAACTTCCAATGTGGGAGTTTCCGAAAATAAGGGGTACCTTATTCTGGGGTCCTTATAGTAAGGATCCTATTATTTAGGGTACTATATTAGGGTCCCCTATTCTCGGAAACCCCCATGTGTTTGGCCTCCCTGCAAAACCGTGCGCATCACGCTCTGCGCATCCAACCGGACGTCAGGGCACAATACGCACCACGCCACATCGGGAGCTACGTGTAATGCTTGTTTCCTGGACGATAGACACTTTGATGTAGCCGTACTGTTTTTCACGCAAGCCACTTGAGCAGTACAAGATTCTGTCTACACTGAAGGTAAGAACCCATACTGTGCACGACCCTGCTTGGGACTAAAACCATGATAAACCTCTATGAGAGCCGTAACCCCTACATCGTACGGTGGAAGGCTGCCGGGAAAGGGAACCCAAAAAGGAACTAAGCCGCGCTTGTTGCTCCGCGAGGCCTCGCGGGCGCGAGAAGCTTCGCAGCTCTGTTCGCTCAATGCTTCCTCGGATTCCTCGGCTCTTTCGTGTGCACACCATGTGTGTGTGTGTGGGTGTGTGTGGGGGTGTGTGCGTGTGTGCGTGTGTGCGTGTGTGCGTGTGTGCGTGTGGGGGTGTGTGGGTGTGTGGGTGTGTGCGTGTGTGCGTGTGTGTGTGTGTGTGTGGGTGTGTGCGTGTGCGTGTGCGTGTGTGTGTGTGTGTGCGTGTGCTTGTGTGTGCGTGCGATGCCTGGAGAACCCGAGCCACCAAA